ACTGACTACTTCCTAAAGGGCTGAACAACTCCTGTGTAAGAGCTGACAGAGATCCAGGCTCCATCCTCGGTTAACTCCTGCTCAGCGCCTGGTGGGCATGACCCAGGACACAGTCATCTTCATGGGATACAGGACTCCTGGAGACATGGTCTGAGGTGACAAGGGAGGGGCAAGCTCCAGAGAGCAACTGTGACTTAGAGATGGGGAGAAAGGATCACGGGGCATCATCTCCCAGGGTCCTCCTGGCCCACAGCTCAGACGGAAAGAGGAGGAGAGTAAGGAGACCTCCAGGATGGAAGGAGCATGGGGTCCATGGTCAGACGTGCCACGGAGAGGGCCTCACAAGGGTTAATGACGATTCTGAAGTTACGTTTTCATATTTGAGTGCAGAGATCCTGTTTGTCCCTGGAGAAAGAGTCTGGCACCCAAGGGGGGGGGAGGTTAGAACATGCTGGCAGAGGAAGGGAAGGAGGGATGAGATCTTACTTGGTTCTACAATGAAGAGGACACCACAGCTGCTGGAGGACCTGCTCACCCCAGAGCGCCCAGCATGTGGCCCTACAGCACCTCCCGGGGACCAGGGATGGGGGGGGTGCACTTCTCTGGGGCTCTCTGGGCACCCTGCCCCTAGGGAAACTGCCCTAGGCTAAGAGAACTCCCAGCCCAAGGTCACACCCACCCCTGAGCAGTCCCCATCCGATGACCAGCAGACATGGGGACATAAGGACCTGCCCCTTCACTCTAAAAAGTCACCCCAACTTCAGAACTGCCCGTAGGGTAGAACTTCCGACCCAGACCACACTGCAGCTCAACTCCCCCCTCTGCCCAGTCCTGCCCTTCCCTCCCGGGACTCTATGGGTCCCCAGGGCTCCATCCCGGAGTCAGCTTCCAGGGAACACAGACTCTGACAGATCCGTTCACAGCCTCAGGCTGTTCATCTCTTCCAATGAAGGGGGGGGGCGGGGCAGGAGCAGAGCAGATCCCCACACCCGGAGGTGAGACCTCAACCCAGGCCAACCCAGGCACTGGTCCGCGCACGGCCAGGACTCAGCCCTGCTCCGAGTTTGCTCCTCGGCCCTTCATCCTGACGGTGGGGAACTTGAGGCGGGAGACAAACCCTAGTGGCCCCCCTCCTGGTCAGCAGGTCTCCAGCTTGGATGGCACGGAGCGCCCGAAGGCACCTTGCTCTTTGGGGGATGCAAGAAATACTCATTCAGTACGTTTACGTCACAAAATGCATAATTTTGTCTGGAATCAGCAAACATCTTCGACCAGTTTCCCAGAATAAACAAGTAGTTACCATCTGTGTAAGTTTTAAGAACAATTCTAAGGAGTAAACCTTTGCACTGTCTCTGAGCTTAACCTTTATCTGATACATGAGGAAAAGATGTCCCCAGCCCAATTTTCGTCGAAGCAGCCCCTTGCACGTGGGAGCAATCTGCAGAGGCCTCTCCGGTGGGGTCTCCTTCCCGCTGGCCCCCACAGAGGGCAGAGCTTAAAAAGTTGATCCAGGAGAAGGAACAACTGATCCTGGGCACCTCGGAGGGGATGCAAAGCACAGCTCCCTGGGCTCCGGGGCAAACCCTGCACCCCTGAGACCAGGAGATGAGCCCCACCCCTCACTGCAGACATCTACTCCACTCTCACCTCATGATCCAAGAGGAGGAACAACTGATCCTGGGCACCCCGGAGGGGATGCAAAGCACAGCTCCCTGGGCTCCGGGGCAAACCCTGCACCCCTGAGACCAGGAGATGAGCCCCACCCCTCACTGCAGACATCTACTCCACTCTCACCTCACAGTTTCCTGAGGGCCTCGAACCCCTCTGATGCGAGGAGTGAGCTGGTGCTAAGACCGTTCCAGGTACCTTACAAGGAGTAGCTCGTGTGAGCCTCCCAATTATAGACCCATTTTACAGAAGAGAAAATAGAGCTTTCGAGGTAGGAAGTAATTTGCCCAGATCAGAGTTAGTGAGCGGAGGAGGGTTCATGTCTAGTGGCTAATTCCATAGCACGTGCCTCAGACTTCCACTCCCCCGAACACCCGGAGTCCAGCCCGAATTGGGAGACGATGCGGACCTGCGGGAAGACTAGAGCACAGTTTGCAAGTGCCTGCTCCAAGCCGTGAACAGCCGTCCCTCAAATGTTCAGAATCACCGCTCCACCAAGAGGGACTCAGGCGGCCTCTGGTGTTGGCTTCTGAGTCCAGATAAGAGGTCTGACACTCTCCGGCTGCTGCTCTTCTCCTGAGCGTGCCTCCTGGGTACTCTGTGAGGCCGAGTGACAGACGGGTCCCTATTCTAGACTGAATAAAGGTGGAGCCCCGACCCGCACACACAACTCGCGCAGTGTGCGACTGCTGCCTGGAGGGCAGGGCCTGGCCTCTGACGGTCATGGCCTTTGCTCCCTGAGTGTGTCTTCGGTCCAGCTGAGCGTGCTCTCTCCCTTCCAGCTGGTTTCCTCGGTGTGGGGCCCCGGGACCGCGGAGGCAGTGGCTCCTCGGCCCTCCCTCTGCAGAAATCTCTCATGAGTTTACCGGTGAGAGCTCCCTCCCCTGCAGCCTCCGTGTCTCTGGCCCCGTCCATTAGCCTCTTTCTCGCAGGACGCACTTTCCATCCCTTTAATCATCTTTATTGCCTGGCTTTGGCCTCCGTCCCGGGTCCACATCCTTTGCGAGGTGTGCTGACCTAACCCGGGCGTTTGTTAACACAGAGCGGCCCAGCGGAAGGGCAGCTTCCAGTGTCTCATGTCACGCTCCTCTTCCTACATTCCTGGGTCACGCCGCTGCCTTCCGGAGGCCTGCGCGGGCCAGCAAGCCGTGAACAGCCGTCCCTCAAATGTCAGAATCACACGCTCCACCAAGAGGGGCTCAGGCGGCCTCTGGTGTTGGCTTCTGAGTCCAGATAACGAGGTTCTTACACTCTCCGGCTGCTGCTCTTCTCCTGAGCGTGCCCCTCCCGGGGACTCTGTGAGGCCGAGTGATAGACGGGTCCCTATTCTAGACTGAATAAAGGTGGAGCGCCAACCCGCACACACAACTCGCTCAGTGTGCGACTGCTGCCTGGAGGGCAAGGCCCGGCCTCTGACGGTCATGGCGTTTGCTCCCTGAGTGTGTCTTCGGTCCAGCTGAGCGTGCTCTCTCCCTTCCAGCTGGTTTCCTCGGTGTGGGGCCCCGGGACCGCGGAGGCAGTGGCTCCTCGGCCCTCCCTCTGCAGAAATCTCTCATGAGTTTACCGGTGAGAGCTCCCTCCCCTGCAGCCTCCGTGTCTCTGGCCCCGTCCATTAGCCTCTTTCTCGCAGGACGCACTTTCCATCCCTTTAATCATCTTTATTGCCTGGCTTTGGCCTCCGTCCCGGGTCCACATCCTTTGCGAGGTGTGCTGACCTAACCCGGGCGTTTGTTAACACAGAGCGGCCCAGCGGAAGGGCAGCTTCCAGTGTCTCATGTCACGCTCCTCTTCCTACATTCCTGGGTCACGCCGCTGCCTTCCGGAGGCCTGCGCGGGCCAGGGGACTCCTGCTGAGCCGGGTGACCTGGCCCCAGTGGAGGTGGGGACCTGGACGCTGAGCCAGGGAAGCAGGTCAGAGGGTGGCTCTCACTCGGAAGCCTGGGGCCGCCCCCACTTCCAGACAGGCTCTCTGGGGACCACGAGGTAGGGGAGGAGGCATGCCAAGCCTCTGCATTCCCCAGCACCACCAGTCCCCTCTGAGCCCCAGTGCCCCTTTAGGGGGGTGCTCCCCACACCGTCCGCCTGCCAGGAACCCAGAAACCAGGCATTAGCCTCTGTGATGCTGCACAGCAAGGAGGGAGCACACAGCACAATAACCAGGGGCAGGGCTTAATCCAACTGTCCTGGCCCAGCCCCCACTCCTCATGCCACGGCGTAAAAGTACCCAGGGCTTCTCATCTCTACGCCAGGACTGCCCTTCTCCCAGCTCAGACCCGATGATGAGGCGTTTGGGTGCTCAGTCCTTCACCTCCCTCCTCCCCGCCTTGTTCAGGGCCGAGTGTGGAGGGAGGACCTTGGTCCGCCCAGCGCTGATCTCAGGAGCTGCGCGAGAACAGGCACTTCTAGTTCTCTGGGCAAGGATGTCGGCTGGGCTGCTTCTTGGCTTTTGCTCCCTGAGTGTGAACATTCTCTGTTCATTCAAGGTAAAACCACAAGCCTCGCCTTTATCTACGAAGAAATTCCCTCTAGAGGAACACCTCGTTTTAATTCCGCAGGCCGGCCTCCTTCCTTCCTCCCCCCTCCCTCCCTTTTTAATATTTCCATTCAGAAGTCACTTACATGCATGTTCAAGCAAAAATTAAATAATAATTTAAAAAAAACCAACCCAACACCTCTTTTGCACAAATGGCCACACACTGCAAAGACTGTTCTGCACCTGGGGTTTTCCATTGGAAACAAACCTGGAAGACCGTTCCCTGTCAGACGCCTCGAAGGAAACAAAGGCAGCCTCCCGGATGCCGGGCCAGCCTCGGCTGCTTGTTCCCACTCAGGGCTGCCTCGGGGCTCGGCTCTGGCCCCTGTATCACCCAGGCTCTGGGGCTCTGGACACCAGGGAGGTCCTGGTTCCTGCTGCAGTTCAGTGCTCTGCAGGCAGCTGAGAGCAGCAGCAGGCACAGGGGCTGAGCTGTGGCCGCCCTCACAGCAGAGCTGAGCGTGGGGCGGAGGAAGGACAGACACCCTTGGCATTGTGATCTCCGGAGCCTCCTGGAGGCCATGTCTCAAAGCACCGCCGGCTACGTCCCGGCCCCTGGGCTGCGGCTGCTGCTGTGAGGTCAGTGGGAAGAACATTTCTCCTCCTGAACCACCCGGATGCCTCCTGCACTCGGGAAGCGTCCTTTCCGGGGTCAACCGTGGGGAGCACTGCTGCTACTGCCCGACGGGTTACCAGCCCACGTGAGAGCTCACAGGTGTCAAAGCGCGGGCCAGGAGTGACGGAGCTACGGGTGGGCGACAGGAAAATAAAGCACAAGCTGGAGACGCAGCTCTCCTACCTTCGGTCATTCCTTCTCCTCCGGAACAGCTTCTTCGTGTGCGCAATCTCCACTTCATGGGGCATCGGGTGGTAGCCCTGGGGTGTGGGGAGGAGGGGCAGCGTTAGCAACCTCTGAAAGAGCATAGCAACTTCTGGGACCAAACTAACCATCAGGATGTCTATGACAGGAGGAAACCGAGTGCTTTGCAAAGACCAGACTCCGACCACCAAAGCCAGACTGAAACGTGGAAAGTACCAGAGTGAATGAATTGCCCACCAGGCAATGATGCTGGAATTACAGAATCAAAAGCAATAGGGACACATGGGACCTTAGAATTCATCCTATCCAGTCACTCAAATGGCAGATGAGAACGCTCAGGTCCAGAGGTGAGTGAGCGGTTTTAGGTCTTGCAGGGTTGGCCCTGGGGCTGGGACCACATCCTGGACTCACAGGCTGACCCACTGACCAGTCACTTCCCTCACAAGCTCCCCAACACACCAGGAATGTCAGCATCTTCTCTGAGCTGGTGACAGGGCCAAGGAGAGGAGCTCCCTGCAAACCCTGAGCCTCCTGCAGAGGGGGCGTACTAGACCCAGGTCCCCCATCCTCGTCCAGGGCTCCTGTGCAATTTTACCCAAGATCCTCATTCCTTATCCTCCCAAGGAGCAGTGACGGCGAACGTGCAAATAGCTAAGTGCCAGGGGAAATCCTAAGGATGATCTTTTATGTATCATCATCATGACAACCATGTCTGTACATTTACTTCCCGATTGGACAGACACTTTTCTGCTTATGACGTGGGGGCCCTCGTCCAGAGCTCCTGTGCAATTTTACCCAAGATCCTCATTCCTTATCCTCCCAAGGAGCAGTGACGGCGAACGTGCAAATAGCTAAGTGCCAGGGGAAATCCTAAGGATGATCTTTTATGTATCATCATCATGACAACCATGTCTGTACATTTACTTCCCGATTGGACAGACACTTTTCTGCTTATGACGTGGGGCTGATCCCAGAAATGCAGGCCCCAGGCGGGATTGTGTGCAGAAGCTGGGCTGATGGCCAGCTCTGTTCTGATCACCTCCCTCTCCTCAGCAGAAGAGTGTGTTCTGATGGGACGTGGGGAGAGCGCTGCTGATCCATTATGGACAACCTGGGGGTCTGGGAGGAGGGGGTAGGGTGGCTTGGGTCTGGGACACCTGGGGACAGGCTGACCCAGAGTCCACAGGACCTTGGCTGCGCTCAGGGTGAGAGGGGGAGTGACGGGGTCCAGTGTTTTGGACATGGTCCACTGCCCCAAACCCTACTCTACAGACAGGGAGACTGAGGCCCAGGGAGCTTGTGCAACGAATTAGAGACAGGCAGTTCTGTGGGGCCGGCAGCCCAGGCCCTCGATGGTGAGGGCACATGCAGCACTTCAGATCGGGGCTCCACAGCTGAGGGCCTTGCTGGCCCTGGGGGCTCAGGGTTCAGCCCCTGATCAAGGCGCTCTGGCTGTGCCAGGACTAGCCAGTCTCGGGGAGCCTCTAAGGGAGGCACTGGAAGGGCAACAGGCTCAGGAGGACACAGGGACCCTGGTCTCAGTCTAGACTCCTATTGAGTCTAGGGAGAGAATGACACATCTCAAAATATATTTTAATAACAGTCTCTCCCATCCTGGCCAGTGTGGCTCTGTAGTTTGAACATCAGCCTGTGCCCGAAAGGCTGTCAGTTCAAATCTCGATCAGGGCACATGTCCAGGTTGCAGGCTTGTTCCCCTGTCAGGGTACGTATGGGAGGCAGGCCATTGATGCCACATCAATGTTTCTCTCTCTCTCTCTCTCTCTCTCTCTCTCTCTCTCCCTCCCTCCCCCATCTCTAAAATCAATAAAAACATATTAAAAATAATAATAGTCTCTCCCGCCCACCCTATCTTGCCTTGGACAATGCAGTAAAAAAGGCCTGAATGAATTCCGGGCTCCAGGCAGCCACAATGGGCCTCTGTGGCTTTAGGATATGCTTTGTTTAATGGTTTTCTCAAAGGATATTATTTGCTTTCTTTAATACAAAACACAAACAAGGACAAACACCAAGTCTTCCCCTCTCATTTCCCCTCTCCCACCCCAGCAGCTCCGGTGGCCCCTTCCCTCCCTCTCTCGCTCCCGGCCTCAGGTCACTGCGGGAGCACATGGGTGTGCCGGACAGAGACAATGGGAGGAAGCGGAGGCTCCCTCTAAGCTGGCGGCCCAGGTCGCGGTATCTTAGCTTGGGGCCCAGGCAGAGGGAGCTGTCCACAACTCGTGGCCCTCCACGAGCCCAGAAGGTGCCAGCCGCTCCCGTCTGGGGCTCAGAGTCCTGGGCTCTGACCTGCATGCCGGCCTCCTCCCTGCCCACAATGGCCAAAGCAGGAGGAGCTACCCTGGGGCCCAACCTCATGGAGCCCTAACTGGGCGCTGGGACTCCCCGTGGCCCGGTGGGCATGCGGGGCCGCTCTCCTAAATAAGCCACAGGGGAGACCTCTGAGTGCGCCCACCCATCCCCCAGATTAATATATACATGCACGTGTGTATATAAAGTAGTGTAGCAGCTAAAAGAATGGGTCTGGAGCTGAACCGTGACATTCAGACTGGCTCTTCCTCTTGATGGCTGTGTGACTTTGCGGAAAGGACCTAACGTCTATGTGCCTCAGTTTCCACACCTGTAAAATGGAGGAATAATAGCATCAGCCTCCTAGGGTCTGTATGAGGATGAAAGGAGTTGGTAAACATGTAAAGAACATAGAATAGTATTTCTAATGTTGCCCTCCTCCTCCACCTCCTCCTCTTCCTCCCTCTCCTTCTCCTCCCTCCCAGATCCCGACCCTGCTCAGGCAGATTGTGCCAGGACAAGCAGGGCTGTTGGTCCCTGTCCTCATGGAGCTCCCAGTCTTGGCAGAGAGAGTCCAGCAGAGGTGTGTGCAGGGGGGGGAGGGGGAGAGGGTGTGGGAAGCCCAGGTCAGGGAAGGGGGAGGGAATCATCCCAGAGCCTGGGGCCCACATGGTGTGCTGGGGAAGGACAGAGAAGTCTGCTTACACTGCCTTTCTGAGGCTGGCAGACCAGTGGGAGGCCCCAGATCAGCTGAACAAAGTGACACAGGTGATAGACAAAGCCTTGCATCTCTGAGGTCCTCCCTCCCCAGGGACAATCCAGGCCATAGAGGACTGGTCCCACCCACAGGCTACCTGTGGCCCCAGCCTATTGGTGAATAAGTGAATAAGCCCCGCCTCCTTGGGCACCTACATAGAACTTTCAGGCTCGGCATACAATGGGTGCACTGTGTTTACACACGCTTCGTTGGAGGACCCTCTCCAACCAGCCCCTTCGTTCCTCAAACTCAAGCTGGTGGTTGGTACCAAGTGACTCACATACTTTACGATGTTGCCCACACTCCACCCAAAACAACGGCATCTCGGTGTCAACAGGGGTAAGTATGAGGCCCCCAGGAGGAGGGAGGAGGACATCTGTGCTTAGCCACTTGCCTGCCAGCAGACAGCTGCTGACCCAGGCTACCAGGTTTTGAAAGTCGTTGGTGAGAGGTGAGACGTGCAGATAAAAGTTCACAGGGGCATTATCTGTAATTGCCCCAAATGGAAACGACCCGAATGTCCATCAACCGGTGGCTGGAGACATGTGGTATGCCCTTACGACGGAATGTGACATGGCAATGAGGAGGAAGTTCTGGTGCATGCTACAACATGGCCGGACCTTGAAAACACGCTCAGGGAAAGAAGGGAGTCACCAGTACCGCGTACTGGCGATTTATTTTAACGAAATGTCTAGAGTAGGCGAATCTGAGGAGACAGAAAGATTAGTAGTTGTCAGGGGCTGAGGAGAGGGAAAATGGGGAGTCACTGCTAATGAATTCTGGAATTAGAGAGCGGTAATGGTGGTGCAACCTTGTGAATGATATTAAAGACCATTTAACTGTATGCTTTAAAAGGGCGAATTTTATGGTATGTAAATTATATCTCAATTTAAAAAGGTGGAAAAAATATCTGTGAGCAGTATATTCCGGGCAGAGGGAATAGCAAGTGTTGGGGGTGGGGGTGTGGGAGAGGAAGAGCGGGAGGAGGAAGAGCAGGAGGAGGAAGAGCAGGAGGAGGAGGAAGAAAAGAAAGAGGAGGGAGAGGCGGGGGAGGAGGAGGAGGATGAGGATGAGGAAGATTCAGTCATAATGAAAGTGTGGCTCTCTCCCTCAATTACTCTCTAGGAAGCAGCTGCCCTAAACACTGTCACAAGATAGAGCAGACTGGGTGGCGTGCCCCAGGCAAGGAGCACACAATGACAGGAGTGACACAGAATCTAGAAAAAAAAATTGGTATCTCCAGGCCTGGCCAGGGCGGTGGTGTCCGGCTTTCAACCAGAGACCCCGCCCTGCTTTTTAGATGGGATAGATCCCTCCAGTGGAGAAGGAGAGATTGAGTAGGTTGTCAGAATTATCCTTTGAGTGTAAGTGGCCTTCGCTCTAATTCTTTACCCAACAAACCCCTCGCTCCCTCTGAAAGCTGCATATAGACATCAGTCCAGGTAATGCCAGTCCAGGTAGGAGCCCCCGTCCCCTGCCATAAACGACAACCCGGCCTCCTGGTTTACCAGCTCGTGTGTGTGTTTCATCAGTGGAGTCAGGTGCCTCTGAGGCCCCACCCTGCCCCACCCAAGGCCTGCGGGTCCTCCTCCGCGTCTCTACATGGGAACCTTCTCCCTTTGGCTCGGAGACCTGGCTGCAGTTTCCCGCCGTCTAACCTCTGACCACTTTCAATAACTAAATGGGCCTGGGAGACAAGTAGATTATATAAACCAAGTCTCTCCAGGGAGGGAGGGAAGATAATACTCCTTCTGCGTGCAGCTCTGGCAGAGTACACACACACACACACACACACACACACACACACACACACATACACACACACACACACACACACACACACTCCCCGAGGTCAGCACTCTGTAAGATGCTACTGCACTGGTTGCAGAAACATCTTATGTAAAACCCCTCCACTCCAGGGCAGAGCTGCTGGCCCTAGGCTGGGGGTGCAAGGGCCTTGCCCTGAGAAGACCCAAGAAACAAACACATCTTGGG